GCCACCCCGAGCTCGGCGTGCTGGGCTGTGGCTGGGAGACACTCGGGAGCTCCAGCCCCTGTCACTCAGCAGGGACTTCAGCAGACCAGCGATTGCAGCCTGCCTAGGGGAGGTGTGCGGCGCGATGCCGGCACGCCCATAGCATGTGGTACTCAAGAGCACTTGGATTTGAGCATCCTGGAAGAGACTGACATGAGGTAAGAGACGAGGAGTGCTTGGGGAGTAGTACACCCTCCAACATGCTCTCAGAGCTTGGGCGTGCTTTGCTAAATATCTGCTCAGAACCCAATGCCTGGCCAGAGCCTGGTGAAGGATCCCTAATGTTCATCTTAGCTCAGGGTTAAATCTTGTCCCTCTTACTCCAGGGAGAATTCATATTTTGGAGTGCTGTCCATACAGCCCACGTTTGTGATCCCTTCGGCATCAGCTGCGGCTGTGTGTGTACACGACACACGGCTCTGGCCGGTAGCTCTGCGAACTGCCGGGTCACCGCAGACCTCTCCGAGGCCGCCAGCATCCTCTGGCTGCGGGCGCTGCAGGCTGGAGGGACTTGCTTCCATTTCCCCCCCCGCGGGGGGGCACAGGGTTTCACAGCCCCGACCGCCAGCTCCCACACCTCCGCGGGGAGCGGGGCTGGCCTGGCAGCTCTCACCAATTAATTCAGGCAATTTAGATGCTTTTTCCCTGCTCACAGATGTCCCAGTCCCTAAATGGCAGCTTTGACTGACTCCCCCGCTTGCTGCATGTGAAGTTCTGCCAGTCCCTTGGTTGAAAGATTTAAAATGAGCCTTTTGGCTCTTTCCTGGCCAGAGGCTCTTGGCACCAGGCGCAGGGATCTCTGCCGCCCAGCGAAGGGCTGTGTAGGAGGGATGGTGTTGCCGAGCCTTTCTGACTGCCTTGGCCTCTGCTTTCCATAAGAAGGAGCACTCGGCTCTGCTTCGGGAAGTGGTTTCGGGGTTGCGGAGTTGGGGTTTTCCCTCCCAGCAGGCAGGGAGCTGGCAGCAGCCCACGGCCGGGCTGGGGTGCAGCCCCTCGGCACAGCTCTCCTGCCCGCTCCCTGCCCTCGCTGCTGCCTTGGCTCTTGCTCTGGCCAGCTCCGGAGCCTTGCCCTGTCCCAGGAGACCTGGAACCAACCCAGGACCAGGATGCGACCTCGGGGTGGAGGCTGTGCTGGTTTCTGTCTCTCTCTGCTTTGGGGCTTTCTCAACCCATCTATCCTGGTCCTGGGCACTTTTTGACAGGCTAACTGCGTCCTAGGAAAGAAACCCACAGACATGATGTCTTTAGCTAGGTTTAACTTGCTCGTTGCTTGACCCGTTGACCGTGGAGAGGTGGGTTTCCCAGGTAGGAACCCATCAGCCACACTGGGGACCCGCTAACAGAGAGCGCTGCCCCTGTTTCTCCCACAAACCCCTTCCCAGCAGGCAGAGACGACGAGCGGCTTTCCTGTGCCGGGGATGCTCCAGCAACCTTAGCTCTTCCCCGCACTCAGCCGTCTGCAGCAGAGTCTCCCAGAGCGTTCTGCACGCCCCGAGTGAGCACTGCTGTCCCGGGGTTCATCGCAAGGACATGCTTGGGATTTAACAGGGAATTTTTTTCTTTGCCAAAGTGCATTCGGTTGCTGGAGGACTCGGGAAAATGCTGGCCTCTAATTGCAGTTTTCTATAAATGGAGCAAGGCCTGTGCTAGGCTTAGGTTCGGGCTAAGCCAGCCCTGGAGGGGAACCTTTCGTGACCCGGAGCTCCACGCCGGGGTGGGTCGGGATTCTGTGGATGGCAGGCAGGGCACGGCTCCAGCCCCT